TGCAATCAAGGACAGGAAACCCAAAGATGAAAAAGGAAGCGGTGACGGCTCCATGCGTGAGGGTATGTCTCGGGCGCTGCTGCTGCTGGGGATGTGGGGCATTGCGGCCATTTAATGAGAAATCACAGTGAGGATTTCCTGCCACCAGCGGGAGCTATATGTATCTCTCCACGCACCCTTCGAAATAATTGACTTTTTTGTGGATGCAACTTTTGTTTTATCTGTTTTTGTTGTCGATTGGACTACCCCTTTCTGCCCGTGTAAGTCGTTATGTAAAGGGCGTGCTCTTCCTCCCGGGACTGCATCGCGGGGCCTGTGTTTTTTTTCCTTATATATATATATATATATATTTTATATGCTCGTTTTTTTTTTATAGTGGAATATTTTGAGATTGGCGGGATGTCTTTAATTTTTCCGTCGGCCGACGACACGTGCAGTCGGCATTGAGCTCCACGACGATGGTGCGGTGAAGAAGGGATTTAAGATGTGCAGCAACGCACTGAATGTCCGAATGAAATGTGGGTGTTGTGTGGACACCAGGAGGTTGAACGGCTGACGCAAATATATTTTTACTTCTGCGGGAAGAATATACACGTGTTTTTTTTTTTTTGCGTCACGATGTTTTTTTTTCTTTTTTTGTTATATTTCTATGGGTGTGGAAACTGCTTTAAGGGAACTGTTTTTTTTTTTGTTTCTTTAAGCGTCTTGTGGGTTGCCGTGCCATCTCGGGTCTTGTTGGCCTTCTCTTCTCCTCTTCGTCCGTCCTGCACCTCTGCTGCGTGTTTTTCTGTCCTTTCACGTGCGTGGCTCTCTTTTTTTTTTTTTTTTTGTGCGTTGCTGTGGTTGATCCCTGCGTGGTGTGCGTGTGGCCCCAAAACAAAGTTGTACGAGGGCACACCTCTCTGCACGATGGCCGCAGCGTGTGGCTGTCGCTCTGTTCTCTCGAGAGATATGCTGCCACGCTTTCAATTGTGTGTTGTTTCGGGGACAATGTGCCGGTGGCTGTGCGGTTGCCGAATGGAGGGAGAGGAGTGGAGGGAGTTGCGTGAGTGCTGCGGTCAGCAGTCGCGCTGGGCGTCTCGCCGCGGAGGGTCTTGCCCGCCCAGCCCAGCACCGCCCTGCCGGACACCCTCGCTCACTCCGCAGCATCTTAGTCGACGCCAGCAGCACGCGGCGAGGCAGCGGATGCCGCCACCGCCACGAGTGCGGCCGGAAGGGGACACGTCCGCTGTTGTGTTTTGAGGGGGCACACTGTGTGGCACAGTGGCGTGCCCACAAACTCTTCGCGGACTCCGCACACGACACCGGACACTGGCCGCGGAGTGTTTGCTTCGTGAAGGACGCCGCGATGGAGTTTCTTCTTCTCTCCAGGCGCGTTGCTGCGCGATGACACCACAACGAGGCATTTGTTTTCACCATGGAGGGGTAATGCCTGCAGGGTTACGCATTGGGAATATGAATGGCGAATGCAATGGGAAATAGAGTCCCATGGCACTTTTGTGCCGTGCGAATTGCGGGGATTTTCCATAAAGCATGTAATTTGCTTTTTTGTGTTTTTTTTTGTGGGGTAACTGCCATGATGCATCACTGATGCGGCGTGCATGATTTGGAGTCCTTGCGTGTGGCCGCTGCTTTACCGAATTCTCTTCCCAATTGTGTGTTTGTGTGTGTCAGGGACGATATGCGCGCATGTATTGTTCTGGAGTGTTTGCGGTGATGGCGCTGCCACACGGATGTGAGACCGCAGCGAGCGGAATGCGTGAGCGAACTCTCCGTGCCCACCACGCTGCTGTTATTGTTGGCACCCACCAACACTGTGCTGGGTGGATGGTACCCACTTGCCATCGTTGCGATGGTCCTCGTGCATGTGGCGTGCATCCCACACCGTGTGGATGACTCTCTTGCTGGGGCTGTCAGTCATGCCTGTGACCTTTGTCTCTTACTCCTATTCCTTTTTTTGCTTAGTGGTTAGTGTTCGGCTTTAGCTCAATCCAACTACGAAAACAGGTATATAATCGATTCTCACGCAGAATAGAATAATAACTAGTTTTCTCTCTGGCGCGGAATTCAACGAAGAGTGCACCGATATACCTGGAGGGATTGTACGAGTCTGTGTACAATGCGAAGTGGAGCCATTTGGTGGAAGTTTCTGACGGCGAGGGGACGGGAATGTATGTGAGGGAGGGGGAACCACCGCAGTCATGGACGTACAAGAAAGTTGGCGACTCTCTCGAAAAGGATGACGGTGTGGAGCAATCCGGTGCAGAGCGTCCCAGGCTGATGGTGCTCACCTCGGACAAGGGATGGCCGTACTCGTGGGGGTGGATTAAACTCATTCGTGACTGCTACGTGAACTGTGAGGTGGATCGAGTGTGGCAGATTGTCAAGGGCGATCTGACCGAGTGGTTCAGCCCTGACGCTGGGGACTACTTTACGCCTAAGAGGCGTCTGTTGATTGGGACGGCCGGGATCGGGAAGTCGATGGCTGCCGGCTCGTACCTCCTTTACCAGCTGCTGCACTACGATGCGGAGAAACTCCATTTGGTTATCTACAGTTTTGGTGGAAATACGACGTACGTGTTTGACAAGACCATCAAGACTGTCACAAGATACGTGGGTAGAGGAGCATCCAATGAATTTTTGGATGGTTTGTGGGATTTGAAGATGAAAGGGTATGTTATCTACGATGTGACAAGGCAAGGCACACCGCCAGAGGAATTTTTTGCGCCCTATGGATGTGGCATGATTGTGGTGCCATCGCCAGAGGTAAGCAACTATGATGAATGGAAGAAACAAGAAGGAGCGGCGCGAATCATCGTGAATTGCCCCGCCGGGATGGATGTGAAGGCGATGTGCGCATGGATGAAGCGTGACGAGACTGCGGAGAAAAAAGCGGAATGCTGGAGGATGGTTGGAGAACGCATGAATAAAGTGGGGCCAATTCCACTTCACATCTTTGATGCGAATAAGTTCATTGCACACTCTGCTGCCATTGAGGATGCCTTGGAAGGGATGAATTCCCGGGATGGTGAAAAGCACTTCATACATGGAGGAGTGAGACTGTGGGACTCTGAGAATCCCTCTCAAAAGCTCGTGAGGGTTGTCCGAACAAGAGCAGAAAGCGGTTCTGAGGTATTTCTGAACGCACCGATATCTTTTTGCCTCGGGCGTCGAATACCGCACTATTTTGGGAAACGTGATGAGTGAGAAAGGTATTTTTTTCTGTTGCTAGTATTGGGGAAGAGGAATACTCTTTTGTCTGAATGTATGGGAGGGTTTGGCTTGCGCGCATTAATGTTTGGGGGATTTTTTGGTGCATTAGTAGAGGACCTCAAGGAGCTGAGGCCACCAGCACGCTGTGGAGGACAGTGCGCGGTGTTGAAGGCGAATACTGAAGGGCACCGCACCGAGTTATATGTGGAGTGGTTGCAAATGGAATACCATACAAATACTAATATAAAGCACGGGGTGCTGTGCATACCGGCGGGTGCAACCTTTCCGCTGGTGGACTGCTTTTTTTTTTTTTTGAAGTCACCGCGGAAGACGCTGGTTGGGCTGCGGATGACTACGGCGGGTGAGCACCACACGACAACCAGCACCGTGCGGCAGTTCACTGAGTGCCTGGCGGCATATTTTAATGGCTGGAAGAAATTATCTCGAGACATGTCGTGGGAGATTATTTATGTGCAGCACGCAGACAGCACGCCGATGACTGGCTGGCGGAGATGTGATGTCGTCGATTCCAATAATGTGAGCCGCGCTGAAAACCGAGAGATTGCGGCGTTCTGGGAGGAAGAGGTGCGCCAGTACCAAGTGTCTGTATCATCCGGAGACTTTAGAAGAGACGAAGCTCACCGAAGTGAGGAAGAACCGTCGAAATAGGAAAACGAATTGGGGAAAGGGGCAATTTCGATTTGTGGTAAAGAAATATTGTGGGGGTTATGTATTTTTGATAATTTTGTGTGCATACGGTGCGGGTGCACCAGCACAAGGCGGCAATATATCGCACAGATTTCAGAACTGTCCAACGCTATCGAACATAACAGTGGCAGAAGAAATTGGGGAGTGGGGTTGTTTGGTTTCTGGTGAAAAACATTGGGGGATTTCATATAGTATTTTAATTGTGTGTGCATACGAGGCACAATTGGAGAATTGCCCCGGTATGAGGGAATCATTGTGTTTGGTGGTGTCACAGTACCACTGCATTGTCCATTTTCTTCTATTGTGCTCTAAGGCCCATCACGAATAGAAGCAGCTTTAAGGGATGGACGAAGCATAAGTTCTATTGAGGAAACGGTGCATTCCGTGTGACCGCATGGAGTGAGGCGTCGCGTCATGGGTGGGTGAGGACTCCGCCTCCGCGTGTGTCTGTTTGGGTGATTGCTCGCTCGGTGTGCGCTGTGTGCCGGCGGTGGGTTACTTCTTCTCTTCCATGGCGGACTGACGGCATTGCTATGGTGCATGTGTGTGCATGAGGGCTGGTGTGGAGTTGCCGGCCAGGGTGATGGCCGTGGCGGTGATTTTCCCGCCTGTCGTTTGTTTGTGTGCTTCTTGCTTTTTCCCCCTCTCATCCTTTTCTCCTGTGTTTCTGCGTGGAGTGGCCGCATGCTCACCGGCCATGTTGATCGTGAGTGCCTCCTGACGGCATCCATTCACTTCTCTCCTCCTGTCTGTCTGTCATTTCCTGTTGGCTGTGGCGTGTTGCGGCGCGTGAGGGCTGGCCCGCACACACCGACGGCCCGCCGTGGCTTGCCGTGTTGATGCTCTTTTCCGTGTGCGATGGTTCCCCGTGCTGTTCCTTACGGACTGTTTCGTGCCCCGCTTTTTGCGTGGGTGCTCTAACCCCCGCTGACCTCTCTGATGTATCACCGCTGCTGTCGCTGTCTCCTCCACTTATTGAACACAAACACGCTAGGGAAACAAACGCGAATCGCCACTGTGAAATTCGAAGTCACTGAAAGGAACAACAGCACACACACCGCCCACACACACATATTTATATGCTCTCACGTGTTGCTGCAGTGCAGGCACCCCGCACACACAACCGTCGCCGCGTGACCGGATCCAGCGGAAGGAGGAGGGAAGGAAGAGAGAGTGAGACACAGAGGCCCAACATGTCCCGACATGTGTTTGCTTCCGCGGTGCTGCTTCTCCTTGTGATGTGCTGCGGCACTGGTGGAGCTGCAGCCGTTGTGGAGGGTAATTCCGGGGATGCGCAGCTGCTTCAATGGGTCGATATTTTTGTGCCGGAAAAGACGCAGGTGCTGTCGAAAGAGGGGTTTAAAAGTGAAGTGAAGAAAGCATTTGCTGCGACTTCTCTTGTCAGTGCTGGTGGAGTAATGGCTGTCTTTGCTGAAGGCTTGTTCGTTTATAAAGTCCATGGAGAGGACTTGTTTGGGATTAAGCCTTACGAAATTGTGGCCGGGTACATCAAGGCTGCGGAGTCGTGGCCGTCCATTGTCGCCGAGGTCAATGCTAGTACATGGAGGGCACACACCGTGCTTGGCAGTAGGAATGACGATAATCGTTTGTGTTATTTGTACGGGCCCACAGCAGTTGCAAAGGACAATAAGGTGTTTCTACTTGTGGGAAGCGACACTACAAGATATGACAATGTTAATAATGATGGTGGGATGTGGGTGAAAGATGGCTGGGACATTCAACTAGTTGAGGGTGTGGCCACGCAGTCCACGGACGGCGTGCAGAGTAAACTGATCAGCTGGGGTGAACCCAAGTCGCTTTTAAAACATATACCCAATCAAACTCAATATCAGCTGATGCAACTTTATGCTGCTGGTGGTTCAGGCATTGTGATGCAGAATGGCACGCTTGTGTTTCCCCTGGTGGTGAATGGGGAAAATTACCCTTTTTCCTCGATCACTTATTCGACGGACAACGGCAACAACTGGGTGTTCCCAGAGAGCATTTCTCCTTGGGAATGCCTTGATCCCCGCATCACCGAATGGGAGACGGGACAAATTCTCATGATCGTTGAATGTTTTAATGGCCAGAGTGTGCTCGAGTCGCGTGACATGGGGAAAACGTGGACGGAGGCCATCGGGACACTCTCAGGCGTGTGGGTCAGGCCACAACCAGGAGTTCGTCTATACAAAATTTTTCGTGTGGGAGCCCTCATCACCGCGACCATTGAGGGTGTGAAGGTCATGTTGTACACTCAGCGAGGGTACGCCTCGGGGGAGAAAGAGGCCAATGCGCTCTACCTTTGGGTGACGGACAACAACCGCACGTTTTCTGTTGGACCGGTTGCCATGGATAATAACTTGGAACGTTTCCACGCCCTGCTGTACTCGGATGGTGCCTTGCACCTTTTAAAGGAGGGTCTCAATGAAAAAGGCAGTGCCATTTCACTTGCCCGCCTGACGGAGGAGCTGAAGACGATCAAGTCCATTCTCAGTACCTGGGCGCAGCTGGATTCCTCGTTCTCTGAGTCGTCCACACCCACGACGGGTCTGGTGGCGGTATTGTCCGATGAGGCCAACGATGGCACGTGGACCGACGATTACCGCTGCGTGAATGCAAGCGTGACGAAGGCAGCGAAGGTAAAAAATGGGTTCAACTTCACGGGGCCTGGGTCCATGGCAATATGGCCCGTGAACAGCCGGGAGGATAATAATCAGTACGGCTTTGTGAACTACGATTTTACTGTTGTGGCGACGGTGACCATCCACCAGGCTCCGAGTGAGAGCACTTCTTTGCTGGCTGCGGGTCTGGGGGACGGCGCCGGCAAGAAGATCATTGGGTTGTCGTACAGCGTGAGTAAAACGTGGGATACGGTGTTTTATGGGACAACAAAAGCACAGAAAAACACTTGGGAGCCTGGGAGAGAATACCAGGTGGCGCTCATGCTGCAGGACGGCAACAAGGGCTCCGTGTACGTTGATGGTGTGATTGTGGGGAGCCCAGAGACGATAACAACACTTGAGACGCGTGGGGCTGAAGTCACTCATTTCTACTTTGGGGGCGACGAGGGAGACAGCGACAGCAATGTGACGGTGACGAACGTCTTTTTGTACAATCGTCCACTGAATCCCACTGAAATGCGTGCGATCAAGGGAAGGGCACCCGTTTCGACAAGAGGTCCGGAAACCCAAGTGGAGGGAATGGCCACCACAGAGCATGTGGCCGCGGTGCCTGGCCCAGTGGAATTACCAGCAGCACCGGGGAGGACTACTATGGAAAGAGCTACAACCACAGAACATGCGGCTGCGGTAAGCTTTACCTCTGCTGGGAGCGGAATGCAGCCGCTACTTTTTCTGCTCGGGCTGTGGGGCTTTGCGGCTGCGTGAGGAGTGTGCGGCCTCAGTGTGGAACACTTGTGCCCTCCTCTGCACCGACACTCACACACACCGCTAGGAATAAATTTCACTAAGCAGGGGACAATTTCTTTTTTTTCAATTTTTTACATTTTTCATTGCTGCTTTAGGACGACCACCATGGACTTTTTTTTTCGGCTTTTAATTTTTTCTTTTTTGTTCAGAGTATAATTTTTTATGTTTTTTTATGTTTGTTTTTAATTATTTTTGTTTGCTTTTTTAAAAAAATATATATGTCTGTTTTTTCTTTTCCACTTTTTCCTTTTTTTTTTTTTGCTTTTGGGGGCAATCACGATGGACGTTTTTTTCTTTTCTACTCTTCCCTCTTTAATTGTTTCTTCCGCACTCTTCCTGTGAGGGGTGCCGTGTGTTTCCCGCCGAACTGCTCCACTCGCACACCCACCGACACGCTCATGATGACGGCCCTGTGCGCCTCGCCTGCTGCACGCATGAGGAGGGGCCGCGACGAACGGCGCGCTGCGGGAGCCGTGACGTGTGGGCGTGCGACGAGGGCCTGTGGGGCGGAGCACACATTTCTTTCCCTCTTGTTTTGTTTTCTTTGCGTCCAGGGCGGGCAGACACCCGCAGCGCCACACACACAGCCACTCCCTGCCGCCGTGTTTTAAAGATTTTTTGCTGCGCTCACTCTCCCGATGGAGTGACGCGACTGCCGTCATGTCTGCGTGCTTCTCTCAGTCCCCACACACGAGTGACTGTGCTCTGCGGGCCGCACTCACGCGCCGATGAGGGGCTGAGGGGAGCAGCAACACGCGGATGACCCCGTGAAATACAAACGATGTGCGGACACACGGAGGGTCGGACGGTTGAAAGACACTTAAATATCTTTTAATTTTATTTTCGGACAAAATATGCGGACAATTTCTGGAGCAATATGGTAGTTAGGTGCTTTTCTCATTTGTGTGGTTCTTTTTTTCCTTTTTTTTTCCTTTTCATTTTTTGTGTAGCCGTAATAGAGGACGAAATTTCTTCCTTTTTTTTCTTTTTTTCAAAGTGTGAGGTGTGGAAGGGTGAAGATGAGTTTTTATTTATTTATTTTTATTTAATTTTTTATGAATTGCCGCTGCCTTGTCTGCGGTGCAGTTATGATTTTGAGCAGTCTTGTTATTTCTGCCATGCACCTCTGCTGTACAGTTTTTGTTTGTGCGTCCCCTCACATGCTCTGCTCCTGTTTTTACTTCTTTGCCTCGTGTGTCTGCAGGCACACACAACCACATGCACGCACAAAATACAAATTGCAGTGGATTTGGATGCTTCTTTTGTAGCGTGTGCTGGCGGTTGCGGGTGGCTGCTGCTTCATCACTCCGTGGGCATGAAGGGAAGGAAGAGACAGTGGGAGTGCGTCGCGGCTCTCACCCCTGTGGGAAGGTTGCGCTGCGTGTGGCGGCATTGCTTTTAAACGCCGCACCATCACTCACGAGGACGTGGCACGGAGTGGAAGACTTCTTTTTTGTTTTGTCTGCTGCTGTGGGTGTGGGTGCGTCCACGCCGGACTTGTCGGCACGATGACCGTAGCGTGTGGCTGTCGCTCTGTTCTCTCGAGAGATATGCCACGACGCTTTCCCATGTGTGTTGCTTCGGGGACAATGTGCTGGCGGCTGTGCGATTGCCGAATGGAGGGAGAGGTGTGGAGGGAAGTGCGTGAGCGCAGCGGTCAGGAGTCGCGCTGGGTGTCTAGCCGCGGAGGGTCTTGCCCGCCCAACCCAGCACCGCTCATGCCTGGCACCCTCTCTCTCTCTCACTCCGCAGCATCTTAGCCGACGCCACCAGCACGCAGCGAGGCAGCGGATGCCACCACTGACACGAGTGCGACCGGAAGGGGACGCGTCTGCTGTTGAGTTCCGAGGGGGCACTCCGTGTGACACAGCGGCGTGCCCAAAACCTCCTCGCGGAGTCCGCACACGACACCGGGCAGTGGACGCTGAGTGTTTGGGTCGTGGAGGACACTGCGGTGGAATCCCTCCTTCCCTCCGGGTGGACGGTCGGCTGATTTTCCTTTCTTTCTTACCCATGAGAGGGTTTTTTTTCCTTTTTTAGTTTAAGAACTCTTGCTGTGTTTGGAGCGCAGCTTTGGAAAACCTATCACCTTTGATGGTGGGCTTGTGCTTCCGTTCGGTCCCTCCCTTTTACCACATTTTTGCTTTTTAAATATTTTGTGATGACGAGTGGTGTTGCAGAAGACACGCTGAGGCGCTGGGCTTCATTATCGATTCATTTATTTGATTTTTTTTGTTTTTGTACCTGCTGCGGTTTGCGGTGTCTCTGATGACCTTCCCGCATGGAGGGCTTTATTGGGGCGCTCGAGCCTTTTTGTGCGGACGGAAGGCCAAGGACGTTATCCATGCGTGGCCATTGCGCTGGAATGAGTCTTTTTTTTTACACATTGACACGGAGCCATTCCTGCGCACCTTCTTTTTCTTTTTTACTTCTTTTGCTTTCTTTCAGGAGATGCTCCCTTGGCTTTGCCTCCAACGGGGTATGCGCGGAGTTACACGCGTTTAAAAAACCGAGGCCACGACCCATTTCGGAAAGGGTGCTTTATCTTTCTTCCAACATTAATTTGTTGTCCATGTTGATGTTTTTCTTTGAGTGGAGTTCCTACTTGGCGACGATCCCACGTATGGTTTGGTGTTTGTCCGACCAGGGCGGACTATATCCACTGCGTCGGGGAAAGGCTTCTGGTGGATCCAACGACACGGCAGCTGGGGGAAATAACGGGACGGACGCTATCCCGTTGATGGTGGCCCCGCTGATGCTCGATCTGATGGACTTTCGGAGGATGATGTGCAACATCAGTGCGCCCATCCAGCTGTTGGTTTTGGTGCAGAACGGGCGGGAGGCGATGCTGTCGTTGTGCCTGCAGGAACTCGAGAGGGTCTATGGGTGGTCCGGACGCCTGGTTGTGAGTCGTCACCCGGAAAACATCGGGTACAGCGCTGCCGTGAACATCGGGTCACGGCTTGCACTCTCGCTGCCGCGCGAGGAAGTGCCTTTTTTTTTTTAAACAAGCGGCGACGTAATGTTTTCACCCGATCTTCTTCCCAGCCTTCTACGCGATGTGCATGGAATGACGAGGCATGATGACGCTCGCATGGATGAGTTGGCGGCGGAAGCGGCGAATGGGCCGAGCGAGTCCAGTCCTGTTTTGCGACGGGGCTTGAGGGTGCTGCGCTCCACGGTGAACGATAGCCGATTGTCGACGTCTGCGCTGCTGCCTGACCGCATTCGTTATGCCTCTGCGAAGGAGCGTGAAAAGGCATTTTCGAAGCATTACGGGCACTTCTGCGCGTATTACAAAAGCAGTTGTTTTGTGTCTGTTATGTTGACACGCCTGGCGATCAGTACGGTGGGATATTTTGACGAGAACTTCTACCCAGCTTGCGTGGAGGATGTCGACTACAGCTTGCGCCTCCGTTTGCTTGGATTTCAGGAGCGAAATGTCTTATACGGCAAATTTGTGCATCGCGGCAGCTCGAATATTCGTTTCTGTAATGAAATGGAGCTGCCGGACGCTCTCTGATACCGTCGCGTCAAGTCTTTGAGTGCGAACCAACCATATGCCATGATGAAGTGGAACCGTCCACGGGCGTGCAGTGGCGGGTGCAAGGGGCCATATGACGGCATGGTCCCCGCAGACGTTTGGGTGAAGGATGAGGCACGCATACAGCTCATTCGGGCCCACTGGCATGATGAGGAGCAAGGGGTCCCAAAGGTTGAGTACGACAGGACTCTTTTGCATCCTGTAAGGACGAAAGGAAGATGAACTGGCGCCAGTCGCAAGTTTTTTGTTTTTATTATTTTATTTTATTTTTCACTTCAAATATTGAAAGTTTTTTTTTATATTTACACAAATGATATTTAAGCGAGTACGCCATGGGTTTTAAAGAGCACAAACATATATTTGGCGTGACAGGGGGAGGGCGCAGCGTCCAAACTTGGCCGTGTTGCCGAGGGTAGGAGAGGGCGGCAGCAAGCAGGAAAAATGAAGATGATGAATGAGGGAGAAATAAAACGGGAGGGAAGCAGAAACCAAGCCAAAAGTATTGTGGAAACAACGTTGTTTCTTATCGTGGGCGATCGACGCCGCAATTGGCTACTAATTTACCCACGGAAGGTGACAACTGTTTCCGCTGGATATGCTGCGTGCATATCTGTCGGGCTCTTTTTTGTTCTGTTGGTTTGTCTCCCGCACATTTATTTCTTCGTGCCGCCTGACCCACTCGTTTATTATTCCCCTCTCCGTTTTGTGCGTGCACCGAGAGAAGGGCTCGGGGACATGAAGTGCGTTCCCCTTCCGTGAGATGCCACCAAAAACAGGAGGAGAAAAAAAAGAAAAGTGAAGCGGGGAGGGAACCATCGCCACGCGTCCTTTTCTCCGAGAAGGCTGCTTGCCACGCCACTGAGGCGCGCCGTGTGCTCCACAAGGCCCGCTGGACTCGATTGGGGAGCCGTGAAGGATGGTGCGTGAGAGTTTGGCGGATGCGTCCCCCAGGCGTTCCCAGAGGACCCTCTGGCCATAGGGAGTGCGTGGAATGCGGGATTCCGCGGGGACATTTGGCTGTTTTGTTTTTCCTCTTCTATCCACCCCTCCCAAACCTCAACACGGCGGCTGATCCAACGACTGCGACGGGATCCGTTGCGTATTTCTGGATCTTTTTTGCGTTGCAGCGGCAGGCCTGGTGTGTCCTGCTCGGCAGACACGGTGGACGGAAGTGGGCTTCCCTATCGGGAAAACGATGGTCACGGCGGAGTGTGTTGCGTACTTCGCAATTTGGCGTGTTTGTGGCGATCCTTGCGGATGATGTGACGGGGTCTCTTTTACTTACAGGGATAGAAGCGATGCTCCACGGTGATGCACACATTGCGGGTGGAGGTTTCTCTTGCTGGTGGTTTGTGAATGTTTTTTCTTTCAGTTTTGCCGGAACACCACAGAGGGCGGTTTCTGCGGACAGCAG